CTTCAGTTGACTAAAATATCAGTAAAGTATGATGAAATTCACAAAATAAATAATAAAAATTAATTGCACACAGTTAAACTGTATAATTGATGCATCTGAGTTCTATTCATTTTGAACATAAGACTAAATAAAAAAGATTTTCAATAGAAAATTTAAATTTCATGGCTACTAAATGGTCACAGAATCCTTTGGATTTGTCTAAGTGAGTCATTTAAAGCCTCCTGCCAGTTTGTCTTTAAAGTGCTGTACCAAAATCAATTTTAGATAAGTCAGAGTAAAATAACATAATCTACAGTAATCTAAACAGTTGCAATAATTGTGTTAAGCTAATTCTAAATCACATGTGACACAGAAGCCACTTTCTTCTATCTAAAAAAGTAGTGGGTTGTTGCTTGGTGCTATAATGATTTATTTTCAGACAAAATAAAACTTGCATTTGAAGTTCCCAGATTATGGAGGAAAAGTGAAAATCCAAATTGCTTGCTGCCCTGTGTGAAGTTTTCATAGCCTGCAAATGACTGAGGAATCTGTTGGTGTTGATTCCCTTTGTTTTATCTGGCCTTAATACTCTTCAGACTTTTACTGAGAAAATTTAGAGAAAATCTAGATCTGGATAAATTACAATAGTAAAATTTCCAAGCAAACTCTTCTGACACAAAATAAATATAGAATTAATGCAGTATTGTCACAAAGAATATTAGACTCACATACTGTAGTGTGTCATAGACTAATTGGTTTCATTTCATACTGCAATAATGCAGGAAAAGGTGGTAATTTCTGTATTAAAAATATTTTCTATTTTTAAAAATCTGAATTGGGATGTACATTATTGCAACTTTCTATAATACCAAAAATATATAGTACTTTTGCCTATAATCTGAGATCAACCATTCAATATTTTTTTAGGTCTCTGTTTAAGGGTCCTGGTCATTTAAGAATAGAACTTTTACAGAGAAAATAACCCTGAATGTTTTTATTATCCTTCCTAGCATTATCTTTCCACATTGTACAAATTTAGATTTGGTAAAAAATAAAAAACTGCGTGCCTCAAGAAAATAGCCAGTTAAGTGTGAATGGTTTTGTTCCCTGGAGTTTCTCCTCTTCCACTAGCACAGAGGGCAAATGAAAACCTGGATAACTTAATGACAAAATCTCGATACACTCTGACTAGTTTGCATTTTAACAATAGAGCAAGAGCAAAACACCTTATGGGTTCCAATTTTATATTTATTTAGTTATGCAAAAAGATGTATTGCCTTGAAGCATTGTCATAGTTACAGTAGTATCCTTTGTTTCTGGAAAGGAAATAAGTAAATTACAGATATGTGCGTCTCAGATCCCCACCTTTATTAGGATTTACCATCTCTGGTAAAATATTAGCATAATTATACCAAATAAGATGAAGTAAGCTAAATGCAAATGTAATGCAGAGACAGTCGAATGATGAATAACCCACACTAACCAAAGGGAAAAAAGAAAAGACAACACATAAGGAATAGGTGGTCAATGTAACTTTTAGAAGCATCCGCAACCATCTTTTGGCTGCTAACTCAGGAGTTGTGATTATTTAGAATATTAAGTTATTCCTTCCATCTTCTTTTTCCCCTCCAGTATGATTTAGGGATTATTATTTTCCCCTGTTAAATGCAACATAGAATATAAGTTGATTAAAGGGTTTTAAAGACTCCCAAGAAGTCAATTTAATATATCAGCGAAATATGAATACAGAAAAAAAAAACAGAACCTCAGAAGGGTTTGCACCATAACACATAACAAAATGTTCCTTCCTTTTGTGTTTAGTAGGTGAATTATATGTGAAAAGGGCTTTTTGTGGTCATTTTCCCTCATCAAACTTATGCTTCTAGCCATATTTGTTTCTCACACAGTGCCACAATATATACAATATTTCCTATTTTTGATAAATTGCCAACTATTTTGCGTCTTTGTTATTATGCAGCGTAGTCCCATGATGGCAGTTGCTGTATGAGCATGGCACTTTGACCATGCTGCTAGAAAAAGAATATGTGATTCATTCTGTCATTTAGGACTGCAGAATTTATTCTATTCTATTTGTGATATAAGTGGAAGGCAACAAACGTACAGTATAGCATTAACCTTCTTGCTCTCTCTCGAGCTGTAAGTTGTTCTTTGAAATGCAACAGAGTTGAATCAATGCCACAGCAGGTGGGTCAGGTCTTATCCTCTATAGGACCTTTTGGAAAGTAGTAGCTTGCATGAATAGAGCAAACTGTATACATTGTGTCATTTGTTTATTCTTCACCTGTAGGAGCTTTGATATTTTCCCTTCTTTTGGCTAAGTCTCAATTAAAACATGATCACTTTTACTGCTGCTAAAAAAGGGTGATTTTTACTTTCTTTTGGATGTTGACAGGTGTATGACTCAACAAAGCTTATTGCTTTGTTAAACCAAGTTTTTGTATGCATAGTTGCATGCATTAATTTCTATGATCAAAACTGGGAAATATGCAAAAAAAAAAGTGAACGATTAACAACAAGAAAAAGGGAGCAGAGAACTCATCAAAAAATGCCAAAAGATAACTACACTGCATTTAAAATACCAAACTCAGACCTCAGTTGGCCCTAGGAGAGATGTATTAACCTTGAAGTCTTATTCGTATGACTACAAACTCTAGATATGTAAAAACATCTTCTGGCTGTACCTCAGCACAGTTTTGAATGACTATAAGCAACAAAAACTGTGAACCCCAAAACCCTTACAGCATTCAAAAAAGCGATGAGTTCTTCTTCAACTCTGGCCAACAGTGTTGGTCAGATCTGTGTGGGCGCTCACCAACTGTAACATAGGAATAGTGTACATTATATATGTGGGTCAAGTCAGGCTTTTTTTTCTATATATTCGGCATTTTGTCAGAGAGGGGAATGTGGAGTCAACAAATCATCTCCATGTCATGTATTTGTTCAGTCCAGCCAATGAACTAGGTGAGTCCAATCTGCACAATTCAATTCACTTTGCATCCCTCATCTATGAATGTTTAAAAACACTAATCCAAGACATCATCTTTCACAACATTTGAACTCTAAAAGTTATGCTGCACTTAGATTTCCTACTTGTGATTGGCCCTAAAAAGTCAATACATGTGAGAGAAAAAATCCTAATATAATATAATTAACAGTAGTTTCAGTCAACTTCTCTCTTTTAAATTTTTCTCAGGCACAGAAAATAAATTGCAGTTTGCAGCTAACTATTAATGGAAAACATATATATGAGGAATGTAAGAACAGAGTTTTCTGAGTAGCACAATCTGTACACATCAGCAGACATTTTGTACTGACATGAAACAAAAAAAATCTATATTTGCTGTAAACAAATATGCCTCCTACCTGATAAACTTTAACACCCTTCTTCTTTATCTGTCTTTTTAGCATCATAAAGCATATTTTAACTTCTTCCTTCACATTAGAGTTGTTTATATAATCAGTGCTGTGGGAAAAGGTGTTTAAAATAAGGACTTTATTATTCTAGGTCAGAATAAATAATCTTTGTTACCTATATTTGCTTGAGCTTTCAACTATTTCCTGCTGAGATAACCTTTCGGGTAAAGGTGTTTGCTGTGTTCTTTTTAATTGTAGCAAGTAAACATTTATTTAACTTGTCCATTTCTATTAAAAACATAGTTATTTGTAAAAACTATTTACTTGGTTTACAGCCACACAGACAGGAACCCAAAAAGTAACATACACTATCCCCACAATAACATGAACTACATTATCATCAATATATGGACAAGCATTTTAAGCTTTGGGAGCAAAACTTTTATTCTATTTCAAAACTACTTAATTTACAAAAGAGGGATGAAACAGCTTTATTATTGATTGGTATTTTAAAGCTTTTCTGTCTTTAATAACTTGTCTGGATCTATCAACACCTTGAGCCTGTGTAATCTGGGCTTTTGCATTTACTTTTGCAACATTTTGCCATATTTGTTATGTTAGAAAAGCCTAATATTGTTTAGATTTGCATCACACTGAAACAAAGTAATAGAAAGCATGGTTGGTCTATTATAAACACAAAGTCAAAAGAGCCTCTAAATCCATGAATGGTTTTCATGAAAAAATTAAAGGCTAGATTGACTTGGATTGAGACTGTTGGGCAAATTAATTAATTAATTAGTGTGAGGAACTGTGATCCAATTATTAGTGGCCAGTTTTTGTGGACAGTGTTGAAAAACATCCACACTTCAAATTATATTCCTATGGATGTTCAAAAAAATTATTTACATTATGTTCAATTTTTGTAGTATTTTTTAACAGGGCATTCTCGAATCATCATTTTTATGATTATAGTTATAATTAATATAGATATTAAAATAGCACTACATGCAAACACCATTCAAATTTCAATTTCTAGCTTTTGTGGCAAAACCTTCTAAATTGGAAAGAAGTGGATGTCATGTGTTTGAGAGCAGTTGCAGTATAATAGAGCTTTAACACCCCTGGGCATCAAAAAGTTCTAAAGGAGTTAATATTTTAAACAATCCTTAGCATCTAATAGTAGTGATATTCATGGTTAGCATTGCTAGCATTACTCAAAATAACAAGCAGTGTGTGGAAATGCACATCCTATACAGATCCCATTTGAAATAGAAACAAAATAAAAAGGTATGCTTTACTTGCAGTTCGAATAAACTGAATACAGGTATGTAGAGAAAATACAGATCCATTATAAATACTCCACATCACCTCTGATTTAATTACATAAAAAAATACTCATAATGAAAACAGCTAAATTTGTTTTTCATGGAAAAACTTGGATATGGTTTGTTTATTGTTTCTGACTGGGTAGATACTAATCAAGCTGAAAATTGGCTCTTACCAGAGACCAGTCAATTTCTCGGTAGAGTTCATGTTTTTCATTAAGTTCTAATAACATATTTCTGCAAAAAATGTATGCTGAATTGTGAAAACTTAGTGCTGAAAAAAATCAAGAAAACATTAGGTGTACATAAAAGAAAACTGACCTTAAAGAGTCGCAAAATGTTGGCTACCATGATTGACACAGAGCTGGCCGATGCACCAATCACTCCGACCACTCTCTCTGGCTTGGTGATGATGGGTGGACCTCCGCTGAGACACTTCACATCAGTCGAGTCTTTCTCAATCAATGCCTGGACAAATGTCAGCGACTGTTCCAGAGCATGGGTGTCCCGAGAGCATGTGTCAAGAATTCTGGCCCCCAGAGTGATATTAGGCAGCAGCTCATTGTCATTATTGATACGATCCAGGGCAAACAACATGGCCTCCAGCCTATGGATCCCTTTCTCCTTTTTTAGCTCTCCACAAGCTTTGCCATCATTCCCTCTTGCATGTACTGGGAAAAGTCCACCCAGGGATATGTCCCCATCAATACGTATTGAGTTGAGGTGCGTGTGGCCTGGCATTTTGGGTTTAGCTGCCAAGGTGATCAAACAATAACAAACAAGAAGCAAAAATAAGCAGAAAACCTTTCTGTGGCAACCATTCCACAGTCTCTCAAAGCCTAATTCTAGAGACATAATAAGAGGATAAATCCGCATCCAAATCCAAATTCAGTTCCTTTGAAAATGACAGAGACGTACAGACATGTACTCCCACAAACATAAAAATGCTAAAGGTTAGCTGCAATGCTTCTCAGAGCACCGTTGCCTTCAAACGTCTCTTCCCATGGTTTCCTGCTCTGACACAAAGTCAGTACCACTAATTATGTTGCTCCACTCTGTTTATCTTCTTTCTTTATTCCTCTCTTTGTGTTTTAGGTCTTGCTTGCACCTGAAAGCTGTGGATACATGCAGCAACTAAACAGTGCGGAGTGTGCTGAAGCAGGGTCTACAGAGACCGCTCTCATAAAGCAAGAACAAAGAATGGAAGCTTGCTTCTCTTCTCTAGTTTTCTCCCGGAGCACACAATTATGTTCAGCTTTCCTCTTGGTGTGTCAAGCAGATAGAATGTCACAATGGCGTCCACTTTGGGATCCTGCAAAGAGAAAAGGGGGAAAAATGAAGACACAGTAAATTGTAGGTAGTAGAGAGAAAAAACCTAGAATCTTACTCACATTGTTTCAGTAAAGATGTGTTTTCTTACAAAGTGGGTTTAAGAAAAGCTACTCTGCCATGCTCTCTGTTTCAATTGCAGTTATATTCAGAACTACACAGTGCAGTTACTTGAGACAGTTAAAGCATCTGTCTTGTTTCTGGATCTTTAACTTCAATGAAAAATGATTCCCAGACTACTGTGCAGGAAGTCTTCTTTTCAATGTCCCAATGGTTAGACTTCTTTCAATGCAGTGCAAGTAATTATTTCTATGTTCTTTTAGAATAAACGATTTGTTGCTTGGAACACTTCCATAAGCATTATAACTGCACACTGCTCTGTCTCTAGAGTCTTTTACCAAAAGGTTATGGAGTACTATGATAAATTAATAGAATCGCTTCCTGATAATTAAAGAAGCAACATTCCTCTGTGTACATATAGAATACTGTTGTTCACAACTAAACTTTGCAACATCCTTGGTATAGAGTCCTAAGTTATGCAGTCACAATTATTTTAAGGCATCCTTGGCATTACCTTAATTTTAACCTCCTGAATAGATATTATATCAGGTTTAAATTGGTACTCAAGCCAAGCCAAAACTTTAAAATCCCTTCCAACTGTTTGTTGGGCTTTAGAAAAAAAGACAGAAACCCCTACATTTATTTTAAACTACATGTAGGGGTCTCAGTATTTATAACAAAAAAAAATTTGGTCTAATCAAATCAATTCTAAATATAACTTCATTTAAGTGGGGAGAAATGCAAAGTGCCTTGTTTGGAAAAACAAACAAAGAAAAACTAGGCTGTGACAAGTTACCCTGAACACCCCCTGCTCCAATCTTTGGAACAATGTGTTATTAGCAGTATCAAACAGGGTAAATAATTCTATTCCCCAAGGATAGATAAGTTTTTGAGAGATACTGTAATGGCAGGAATGGTGGAACCAAATACAGCTTAATCTTAGAGGAAAACCTGCTGAAGGCTACGAAAGACTTGAGATTGGGATGGCCAGCCAGTTGGAAGACAACCATAAACATATAGCTAAAGCTATATTGGAATGGTTTAGATTGAGGCATGTTGTTGTGTAAAAATAATTTGGTTAAATTACAAATTGCAGACTTGAACAAAATCGTGAAATTGTACTAAGATCTAAAAAATTATACACAGATCGTGTTATTATCATCTGACAAAGCTTAGATCATTTTGCAAGAGAATACTGGGGAAACAAAAATAAGTCTTTAGATGTGAAAGCTGATAAAGGCTATCCTGAAAAAATTTAAATGTTACAGAAGCCAAAGGTGGGTTTGCAAAAACTGGTTTGGTTTCTGAATACGAATCGATTGTAATGTCTTTAAAAATTAGAAGAAAACGTATGGTTTAACAGTTTAAATTAATAAAGAAGTGTGTAGTTGTTTTTGGTAGTTTTTTGTGTCCTTCAGAAATTAACCTTATCTGTGATATAGATCGTAAATGTCAAACTATTAAAAATCAACCAAAATGTATTTTGAAAAACAAACAAATTTGCTGCGTTTACAGTTAATATTGTTTTTAATGGTTTCTAAAAGCACTTTTGAAAAGTAGGAGTTCCACTTCTGCTCTTTTTCTGTTGAGACAATTTCTTACCCCCCACTATAATACTTTTATGTCTTAATCTGGGCATACTCTGTACGATTTTTTCACTCGTTGCACGCAGCTACAGCTCACAGCTCATGGTGTCTGTATGGCCCAACGGTCTAATGCGATCTACCTGCTCATACTGTACATCTAAAAACCACGTAGGACTCAGCTCCGCAGTGAGATGGTGCTACTCGGACTCGTCTAGCCGGAAGCGAAATGAGTACAAGAGGAATATGAAGCTCACTAGAGTGAAACGTGCTGCCTTGGCAATTTGTGCAATTTTATGCTGAAAGCCCTAAAAAGAAAAGGCGACGAAGCATTTGGACTAAGACATGGCTGAGCAACCGTGGCAACTAAAGTCTGTCAATTATACACTTGCACCCCCGCCATGCTTCTTTGATTTCGTCTGAGAGGAAGAAGAAGAAGAATCCTTGTTTACGCATGCCCACTGAGCGATTTGCCCATGAAGGCCGACTGAATTTCAAACATGTTAGATTTTCTCCCGACCTTACCATTCCTGTTCGGGAGTTGGTTGTGAGAAGCTGATCCCCCCTTCGTATACTATGCTACGCACGACTTTTGATCTGACTGAAAGTTGGCCCGATTGAAAAATTCTCGTACGACAGGAGAATAGACCTGAAAGGGCAAAAAAATAATATAGTGCATAATCGGCTTTAGCCATAGTTATAAAAAGGTTGGACTTACAACAGCTGCCTTATAACAAGAAGGTACCTGGTTCTATTCTCTCCAGATACTCCAGCTTCCTCCCACAGTGCAAAATCATGACTGTTAGGTTAATTGGCTTCTCTAAATTCTCCTGAGGTGTGGGCATGTTTGTCTCTGTGTCGCCCTGTAATAGACTGGCTAGACAGCTGGAGATAGGCACCAGCACCCCTTGCAACCCAACTTGGGATAAGAGTGACAGAAAATGGATGGATGGATGTTTTTTCTTTTTGTTTTTTTTTTTTTTGTTTTTTTTGTTTTATGAAACCCAAAAGAAGGACAAGTCCATGACAGCTTATCAGCACACAATGGCTGATTTGGAGCTGAAAATCCATGAGCTAGAAGTGAATTTTGAAGTTAATATAGGGGAAAACTATACTGCGACTCTGCCCCTGATCCCGTGATCCCACATAGCCACAGCCAAGTGAAAGTGAGGGTTAATATGGAGCCCAGCTCAACTCTGCCTGTGATCCAACAGGGTGACAGCCAGTTCAACAATTCAGCAAGCAGAAAAAATGCTGAGAGTAAATTGCATGTTTTAGGTGCAAGGCATAAACATAAAAAAAGACTCATAAGAAGATCTTGGCTATTAAATATATCAGTTGTCACAACAACTGATAGGAGTGAGCCAGTTGTAAATAATGGAATCGTTCCTCAAAATGTTCCCTGGTTGAATAAAATACAGGGAAATTATCCATCTTCTGAGAAAAATAAAAGCCATAAGAGCAAGCCTCATACATACCGTTCTTGTCCTAAGCTACCAGAGAAAAGGAACCCCACGGGGCCAAGGACCTTAACAGCAACACAGCTGTGAATGAGGCTAAATACTTCTGGAACAGAAAACAATAAAACTAAATAATTATTTGTAATTGTAATATGCTGTTCGATATCTCAGAGAATATTCTGGAAATCACAGAAGAGAGCCCGACTCTTTAAAATCTTGTCATACATTGTGGACCAAGGATAATATTGCTAAGAAAAAACCATAGCAGCTTTTAAGGAGGAATTTATTCTTCTTTTAAATAAAATTGAATATCCCAATACCAGTTTGTTCCTCAGTTGGCCACAAATTTTATGTGGAGATTAGATTTTTTTCGACACTCTGATAAGTATTAATGCCTGAGGTAGTTTTTCAGTCATGTGATTTTTTTCAGTCGCATGATCAGCAGCTAGACTTGTTTAAAGATTAAGAAGACTCGAAATAGTTGGAGAATGATGATGGCCACATGAACTGTGGCTGCAATATTGATACATCTCATATGTTTAGATCCAAGTTATTGGATGTGCAAACGTATTCAAATGCAATTAAAATTTTTTGGGTTATTTAAAGAAAAGTACCGCAATTGTGGAACTTTGCATTTTTGGGCTTTTGCAGGATATTAACATAGTTTTGCACATATTTGTTATGGAAAAGCAGCCATTGTATCAACTGCCCAGACCTCTCACGCAAGTCTCACACTAAACATGGTACAGCTACTGTGTGAGCGTAATGCAGAAAGTCATGACTCACACTGAAATCTGTACCTGGCTGTGCCTGGATGCCCCTGCTATGGCTCCAGCTGCAGGAACGGTGCTCGAAAGAAAAAAGTTCTGATGGATTCATGCTCTTTCCACAAGTTGTTGGCCAAACTTGTTTGCTTGTAGATATCCCTTTCATCAGCTGATAGCTGTATTTTTTTGCCCTCTTGTTTTCATTGTTCAAATTAATGTAGGTTGTTAGGTTGATTTCATTCTGAAATTCACCAGAACTTTTTTCTGTTTGCTGACCAGTTTTTTCCTATTGGCTTGTGAAATTCAGGATGAGGAGACTGCTACTGCATCCAGACAAAGTTCCTTTTTGCAAAAAGACTCTATTGAACCACACGACCTGGGTAACTACACCTGGACTGCAGTCGATGTGAGTGTTTACTCAAAACAAGAACAAAACATGGAAAAGCATTGTTTAGTTCTTATGTTCCACTAACCTGGAATAAACCCTAATTTAAAATTCTCGTACTCGTCGTCTCCCGCTTTATCTGGAACCGGGTCGCGGGGGCAGCAGACTAAGCAGAGACTCCCAGACTTCCCTCTCCGCAGACACCTCCTCCAGCTCTGCTGGGGGAAGCCCTAGGCGCTCCCAGGCCAGCCAAGAGACGTAGTCTCTCCAGCGTGTCCTGGGTCGTCCCCTGGGCCTCCTCCCAATGGGACGTGCCTGGAACACCTCCCGAGGGAGGCGTCCAGGGGCATCCGAAGAAGATGTCCGAGCCACCTCAACTGACTCCTCTCGATGTGGAGGAGAACCGGCTCTACACTGAGCCTCTCCCGAATGACCGAGCTCCTCACCCTATCTCTAAGGGAGAGCCCAGCCACCCTGCGGAGGAAGCTCATTTCAGCCGCTTGTATCCGGGATCTCGTTCTTTCGGTCATGATCCAAATTTCATGACCATAGGTGAGGGTAGGAACGTAGACCGAACGGTAAATTGAGAGCTTTGCCTTTTCGCTCAGCTCTCTCTTCACCACGACAGACCGGTGCAGCGTCCGCATTATTGCAGCAGCCGCACCGATCCGTCTATCGATCTCCCGCTCCATTCTTCCCTCACTCGTGAACAGGACCCCAAGATACTT